AAAATTAATAAAGACTCGGTCAAATACAAACACGCCTAAAATCACCCTTTCATTTAATTACCCAGTAACGGTTACGCAAATCTCTGCTAGAGTTAGCGACTGACTCGCCGTTACACCGTTACAATAGGTTAAATAAAAAATTACAAAAATTATAGTTTTTGAAAAAATTTTTTTTTAAAAAAACTTAATAATTATAAATTTTTTAAATAAAAATTTTTTTACTAATAAAAAAATTACAAAAAATTTATGTAATAATTTTTTTAGATTAATAAACTTTTTTAGCAAAATATAAAAATAATTAATAGTTATTTTTTATAGTTAAAAAAAAATAGTCTAGGAATTTTTTAATTTCAAATATATTTTTAATAATATTCTACTATATAATAATAAAACCTTTTAATTAATTTAATTTTTAAACCTTTAAATAATATAAATATAAATAATATATTATATATTTAATTAGTTATTAAATTATAAGCTAAAATAAAACTCCGAAGATCTTTATAACAGATTGTAAATCTCATTTTTATTATTTTGCGAAAAATAACAAAACGTACTGGATTTTACTTACAATTTATTAAATTACAATCAATACAATTAAATCTCATTTCATAATATTTTACAAAAAACTATCGAAATTGTACTGGATATAATTACCATTTATAAAATTTGTCAACTAATAAAATTAGATCTCGTTATCTCATTTCGTATTATTTTACAATAAAAAAAAATAACAAAAACATACAGTGTTTTACTTACTATCTATAAAATGTGACAATAATACAGTTAAATCTTGTTTCATATTATTTTACAAAAAAACAACGGTAATGTGCTGGATTTAACTTACTCCCTAGATATCACTTCATGTTATTTTACAAACAGATGGTAGTAATTTCTATAAATATTAAAAATTCAAAGAAAATTTCAGTTGTGCAACGATTTGCAGATTACAATTCTTGATAATTGCACTTTTTAATGGAACGGATTTTTATGTCACAATTACTATAATTATGCATATTAGTTTCTATAATTAATTATAGCAATTGATGCATGCACCATAATTGCGAATTAAAAACATGTGGAAATTTTCCGTAAAAATAATATCTATAAGAGAAAAAAACACCTTTCGGCCATTTTTTCTGCCCAACTTATATTTTTTTAATCACTTGCACTTATCTAAAGATCCAGTTAACCTTAATAAATTAACCGGGTCAATATTCCCTATTACAAGAAAAAATCTAAAACTACTCTTAAAGATAATCAGAGAGCTTCCAAAATTATACTTTCACCAAAAGAATTTTTTTTCGACATTATACTAGCTTTTTCAACACATCTAATTATTTTTCAGGAATAACAAACAATTTCGAATTTTTGCGATTGACAACGTATTTTTTAAAATCTTTAACACAGCATTACCATACAGTATTACGATTGTCGGTAAATCAATCTAACTTTAGATTAATTAATGTAATTTTTGATAAACATTAATTAAACCAGTGAAACAAACACTGAACATACAGTATATAGAGTCGACTACTGTATAATTGAACCGTTTCATGAAGTTTTTTTAATTAAACATTCTTGTCAGCTTTAAAAAAATAATTATAAAACTTTTATAGGATTTATTAACATATGGCCTTGCCAACCGCATGGAACGTTTATGACAAATCTACTTTTTTGAATGTTGAGAATGAAGGACTTAGAGTGGTTTACACAGGTATATTAAAATAGAAAAATAGTTATTGTATGAATCTTTGATAGCCTTTAACTCTTCAAAAAAAAAGGTCAGGATAAAACTAGAAATGCAGCCGCAATACGGTCAAATTTTCCTATTCTTCCGAATTGTGGATTATTTTATTTTGAAGTTACCATTGTAAATGAAGGAGACAATGGGTAGGACATAATGTTCGTGTATTCTTGATTCTAATAATCACTTACATTTTTTTATGTATTAAAAGAATTATTGGAATTGGACTGTGCACAAAAACAGTCAATTTAAATGTGATGCCTGGTGACTTGATGTTCTCCTTTTTTATTCGTTTAACTTTTTATAATCACATTTACCAATATGATATTCATCATAATATCAAGGATGGGAGGATGACTCTTGGGGTTACCATGGTGATGACGGAAAATGTTTTCACTCATTAGGAGCTGGTAGAGTGTATGGGCCGTTGTTTACTACTGGGGATACTATTGGATGTTGCTTGAATTTTCTATATAATATAGTATTCTACACGAAAAATGGAGTACATCTTGGTAACAACTATTTTAATTTAAATTTAAAAGGTGTATTTTTTTTTGAAAAAAAAATTATCATTTAAAGGAATCGCATTTCGATGGTTGGAGGGTGATCTGTATCCTTGTGTCGGAATGAAATCATATGGAGGGTCGATAGAAGTAAATTTCGGGCATAAGAAGTTTGAATATGAAGGTAGGTTAATTATACCGGTTAGTTTATTAAAGAATATTTATTAATTTATCCTTAAATAGCGATGAACGGTGAAGATATTGATGATGAATTATTAAAGGGAGGATGGAATAGAGTTTTATTTCAGAATGGTAACAAATTGCCAAATAGGCAGATAGACAGGTTTGCAGAGCTATCAGAATCATTACCCATTAAACCAAATAACAAGCTTTTATTTAAATATCGAGTAAAAGCATATTTTGCTATTGGAAAGCATCATAAAGCGCGAGCAAATTTAGTGAAATTAAAATACCGGACGAAAGCATTCTTTGTTATGGGCAACTATAAGAAGGCACTTGAAGAGATAACAAAAATATTAGAAATTGAACAGAACAACATATTCGCTCTAAAATATCGGGGAGAAATTTATCACATGATGGGAAATTTTTCTGGGTCACTTGGAGACTTTGGCGAATTGTTAAAAATTAATCCAAATGATAAATGGGCTTACGAATCCCTTGAAGAAGTTCATAGAAAGTTTGTATATTGTGTATTTTTATAATTTCACAGGTTACTTATTTAACCATACGTAAAATCATAGGATGTGAGTATGCCATATTTGGACATTATACTGTACATTATTTGTATTAACTTGTTACATACGTGCAAATTATAGAAAGTAAGTGCAGTGTGAGATCATTTTATAATATATTTTTTATTATACTTACTATTTTTAATTAAAAATTAGTCTGTAGGTTTTAATTTAAGTTTAATTTTTTTATTTGTACGTAAATTTGACTAATTTAATATCAATTTTGACTAAAAAAAAAAAAAAAAACTTCCCTGATTTCAGTTTGTAAGTATTTTATTTTTACCAATTCAGATATACTGTACATTTTATATAAAGTTAAGGTGATTAAGTAGCATTTTTTAACTAACTGATAGCAAGTGAGTGTTGGCTAGTCATAAGCACTAAGGAATTTAATGACGTATTTACTGTTTAACAACGCTTAATTATTCTTTAGCTTGTAAGTATAAGTTTTTTAGAGAGTTTTTTTGGTCATATCTAACATTTTTTTTTGTCTACTTAATGGTAGCTTGTAAGTAGTTATTTGTAACCTTCAACTAATTTAACATGCATCAAATAATATTAATACAATTGAATATGAACATTTATAAGCCGGTAATTGCCTCTTTTAAATAATTTTTTTGTTTATTTTAAAATAAATTAACATTGATATATTTTATTATCCCTAGCGAGTAAGTATTATAAAACATTATTGAATGTTAATCATAATTGAATAGCGAATTTTAATATACAATCAGAACGTGAGTATAACAATTCTTGTATATCTGTAACAAGACTAATTAATTAACATCTAATGCAAGAAATTTTCTGCAATTGCATGTCATTTAGTGTGTGAGTATTTTTATATATTTATTGATTATAAAATATAATTTTAAGAAAATAATACTTTATATTTAACGACCTTTAGCGAGTAAGTACATTAAAGTTTAAATTTGAAATAATCATTATGATTTAAGTTAATTTCTAAATTAATTTTCTTCATTTAACTTATAGTCGGTGAGTATTTGGGTTTTATAATTTATTAATTAGCATAAAATTTAATGTTCAAAAATTTCATTTAAAAATTGTTAGTTTGTGAGTATTTCATTCGTTATATTATATGAAGAAAAGATTTTTCAAGGCGTTTTGATTGTTCACGTCGGTATAACCATTACTTTCTCAAATTACCGTCATTAACTTCAGTCTGTAAGTATTTTATCATTTTATTGCTAATAAAAATGACCAAATATTAAATTTAATCACTCATCAATTTATACCTTAATAGACGGTAAGTATCTTGGTTACTTGATATTTTTTAATAAAAAATTTTTATAATATTTCTCTAATCGATTTTTAGGGAGTAAGTAAAATTATTTTTATTATCTTTTTTAAAAAAATTTAGTCATTTTTTTTTACGCTAAATATACATGTAATATCAAATGATATTATCTATTAGGCGGTGAGCATTTTTATCTGCAGGTTTTTTAATCACTACCTTGAATAATGTTTCATAATGCTTATTTAATCGAATTAAGAAAGTAAGTTTTGATAAATAGCGTACTTATTATTGATTTAATAAAAATATTTTTTTTCTAACACTGTTAATAAACTTTACAAGACGGTTAGTTTTAGATCGTAAAGATTTATTAAATGATGTTCGTAGTAAATTTGAAGTCGACTAAACATAAAGATTACTTTCTGAACAACAATCAGGCTGTGAGTACTTGAATATTTGAATTTACTATGATGGTAGATGAAGGCTACATTATGAAAGAGTAATTCAAAAATTATTTTCTTATTTGATATTAGCGAGTAAGTATTTGTTACCAAAAATATTTAAAATAGAAACAATGATTAATATTAAACAACATTTTCATAATAACTTATCAGATTGTATGGGAATTTAATATTTTAATCTTGAAGAGCAAATATTCAGTACATATCTATAACACTAATTTATCGTTGGTTAATTAGACTGTGAGTATTTTTTAAGCATTTTATTATAGTAAATGTAAACTTTCGATTTTATATTTAATTATTATTTCTCTGATCGTTATTTGATTTTTAGACGGTAAATATTTCTATATATTAAAACACAAGGTTCCCAATTATGACATTATTGACACTTCTCCAACTGATCACAAACAAATGTTAGGCAGTGAGTATTAAATAGATTAATAAAAACATGCAAACTATGTGTTATCTAAAATTATCCTTCCATGAACTATCTTTAGACTGTAAGTATGCTGGCGTGTTGATTGTAAACTCAAATTAATAATAATATATCAAATATATGTTATTAATAGCGAGTAAGTATATTTTTTTTGTATTCAAAACAGTCTTTCGACAATCTTTATCTACATAATCTTAACTCTGTTAATTTTTTTATATTTACTGTTAGTGAGTAAATAATTATTTGGATTTCCTTTAACTATAAACGTCAAGTTCACAAATCAAATGACAAACTTAAATTTTAAATGACTTTTAGCGAGTAAGTAGTTATCATTTAGATACAAATTTTTCGCATAAAATCTAGCGTCTTATTTCATAACTTTAATTGATTTGTTAGCGAGTGAGTAATTAATAGTTTAATTTCGCCTAATAATCTTAAACGCGTGTTCAACTACCAAGCAACTTTTCTTTAATTGATTGTTAGTGAGTGAGTGATCACCTTTTTAGTTTATATTTTACTTTAAAGTTTAACATTTCCGCTAATTCCACGTCAAATACAACGCAAAACATCTCTTTTAATTGATTACTAGCGAGTAAGAAATAAATAATTAATATAAAATTTAAATTTAAGTATAAATTATCTGCTAACTAACATCACATAAGCGTTGAACAACGCGTTACTGAGTAAGTAATTGCTTGGGTTAACAGTAATTAAAATTTATTAAGTTCATATTATATATGAAATTATTTCAAGGACCGTTAACGAGTAAGTAAATGATAATTATTGATTAAATTATTTTTTAATACAAATATAATAAGAATTAAAATCTTCTTATTATTTGTAGAGAGTAGGTTTTTTAAAATTTGGATAAGCAATAATTTTAAAAAAAATTAACGGGGATTTACGATTCAAATAATTAGGCGGTAAGCGTTTGATTCATCGTAATTCTTAAAAATACAATCTTCTGGTTAATTTAACATACATACTTTATCCCTAATCTTTAGCGAGTAAGTAATCGTTATTTATATTAATTTAATCTAATTTAGTTAGAGAATTGCATATAAAACATACGGTATATACATTGTTATTTTAAAATCAGGTTCTCGACTATTTCAACAAGGGGAATAGCTCATTCTCAATCGTTGATCAATGTGTAAGTATTTATTTTAAAAATAAATTTATATCAAATTAAAAAAAGTTGATTACCTAAAATAACTGTTATTTGATATATGATTGGTGAGTAAAAATTTGAATTTTAAAAATTTAACCAGTTGATTTTGAGTCTACCAAAAATCACTGACTTTTAAAATTTTATATTAGTAATTTTCTTTCAAACGGAGTCCGTAAGTATTGATTTATGTTTAACTATGATAAACAATGATTCAATAAGATTTTCCAATAGATCAAATACACTTTAAAAGTTTCTAAATACTGTTTTTTTAGTCGTTTAAATGTGCTTACAAGAAGGTTGACAAATAAGTATTCAAGTTTGGTGCAATTTTAAATTCAAACACGAAACATCAAATCACATTTATTTTTAACGATTCATTATGTAATTAGCGTTCGTAAAGTGTGAGTATTTAAACTTTCATGGCAACAATATGAAATTCAATTTTTTAATATTTAATAATTCATAATTGGAGATTGTATTTATTATTTTAACTCACATGCATTATAAATGACCATTGCTTTCGACTATTAGCTCGTGAGTGATTGAAAACTAAAATTCATGCAAAATTTTTAATAATTCTCCGATTAATTAACCTCGAATTTAACATAAAATGAAAGTCGTACATTAACCGAATTAAGGTCGAATATTAGTGGGCAAGTAATTGATAATCTGCATTTATTATTAATTTTAAATATAATACGAGCACCAAAAAGATTCGACTTTGATTGACCAATTATCGTCCGGCGCTACTTCTTTTATCAAACAATAGAAAGTGAGTTGTCAAATGTAATCGTTTATAAAGAACGATCTTTTTAATTAACAGGAACCTAACATCCATGGATTTACTATTAGTTGGTGAGTACTTGCGTATTGCAATATGCAATTATTCAAAATAAATTTTGTATATATTCTAATACTTTTAATTTATTGTTAGTCCGTAAGTAATTAAACAATTCAACTGAAAAATTATAAGTGTAACCTTCCGGTTAATTCAAAGTTAAACATCTTAATAATCGTTAGTTCGTAAGTAGTTAAAGTAACGGACCTCGGAAATATGCTAATTTTAAATTCCTAAGTTAACGTTAAATAATATTTATAGAATGTAAGAAACGATTATTTCTATATTATATTGCTACGTGAATTTCTATGGATTAACACCACGATATCATTTACTAGACAGTAAGTACTGCTCAAATTTTTATGTTAATATACCATGTATATAAGTATTCCATAAAGTTTAACGTTGTTATATAATCCCCGTTAGAAAGTAAGTAAACAAACATTTTATTTAAAGAAGGTTTCGGATAATTTTATTATTTCTTTAACTAATTGCTATAATTTCACGCTAGCCGGTAAGTAGCAAAGAATCTGTTATTTAAATACTCAGTTTCATATAACATTTGATGCTAATTAGATTTCTTTAATGATTAGGGAGTAAGTAGTACCTTACATTATATTCTTGTTGTTCTTAACTTCTATTTTAACATAAAATTCATATGAAAATTTAATACCATTTTAATTTTTGCTAGCCTGTGAGTAGTCGAAAGTATACTTTAAATGCAACAAATTTTTGACTAATACAGTACAACCCACACCTTTATTAATTATAAGCGAGTAAGTAAATAAGAATTTTATTGATAATAATGTATAATGCAAGTTATTGACAATTAACATAATTAATTTTTAGTGAGTGAGTAATAAAATGTTTTATCAGCTACATAAACTCGAATAAATTTACACATATAATATTATGTCAACAGACGGTAAGCATCTATACTCACGATACGGGTTTTATTTAAATATGACGTCTAATAATTTATTTGTTATCTTTAGCAAGTAAGTAAATAATAATTACAATCATATATGGAACATTCACATGTTTATGATAAATTTAAACCATTCGTGGATCTGTTATATTGTAAGTAAATAGGGTTCTGAATCCATATTACATTAAATATTTTCATGATTGGTTCCATTTTGAGGTTTTTGATTATTTTACTTTACTATATAAAATATAATTTCCTTCTATATACAGTAGTGAAGATTCCTCAATTTCAGCTTCAAGTAACAGTCCTTTTTTCTCGTAAATGTTTGAACATTATGATTTGAAATTTTTAAATACAAGTTCTAGCTATTTGTCCTAAATACATTAACTGAATATTATTTAAATTACCAGTTGGTAAGTATTTGAACATTCTGATTTGCATTTATTGAAATACAAGTTCTATCTATTTGGCATAATTACATCAATTAAATGTTAAATTACTAGCCGGTGAGTATTTAAACATTCTAATTGAAATATAAGTTTAAGTTATTTATTATTAATATATTAATTGAATGTTAATTATATTACCAGTCGGTAAGTATTTAAATATTCTAATTGAAATATAAGTTCAAGTTATTTGGCATAAATGCATTAATTGAATGTTATTTATACTACCAGTTGGTAAGTATTTGAACGTTGTAATGCGCAATTATTGTAATATATGTTCTAGCTATTTGGAATAATTCCATTAATTGAATGTTAATTAAATTACTAGGGTGTAAGTATTTAAACATTGATTTGTCATTATTAAAGTACAAGTTTTAGCTATTTTGCATAATTGCATTAATTTAATGTTAATTAAATTACTAGGGAGTAAGTATATAAACATTCCGATTTGAAATTATTGAAATCTAAGCTCTAGCTATTTGTCATAATTTCATTGATTGAATGTTAATTAAATTACTAGAATGTAAGTATTTAACCATTGATTTGTAATTATTAAAGTACAAGCTTTAGCTATTTGGAATAATTGCATTAATTGAATGTTAATTAAATTACTAGGATGTAAGTATTTAAACATTGATTTGTAATTATGGAAATACAAGTTCTAGCTATTATTACATTAATTGAATGTTAATTAAATCTAAGTCCGTAAGTACTCGAACAGTCTGATTAGCTATTATTAAAATACAAGTTTTAGCTATTTGGCATAATTGCATTAATTGAATGTTAATTAAATTACTAGGACGTAAGTATTTAAACATTGATTTGTAATTATGGAAATACAAGTTCTAGCTATTTGGCATAATTAATCAACTGAATGTTAATTAAATCTCAGTCAGTAAGTATTCGAACAGACTTATTCACTATTGTTAAAGTACAAGTTTTAGCTATTTGGCATAATTGCATTAATTTAATGTTAATTAATTACTAGGGGGTAAGTATTTAAACATTGATTTGTAATTATTAAAGTACAAGTTTTAGCTATTTGGCATAATTGCATTGATTGAATGTTAATTAAATTACTAGGGAGTAAGTATATAAACATTATGATTTGAAATTATTGAGATCCAAGCTCTAGCTATTTGTCTTAATTCCATTGATTGAATGTTAATTAAATTACTAGGGCGTAAGTATTTAAACAATTATTTGTAATTATTTAAGTACAAGTTTAAGCTATTTGGCATAATTGCATTAATTAAATGTTAATTAAATTTTTAGTGAGTAAGTATTTAAGCATCGATTTCTAATTATTAAAGTACAAGTTCTAGCTATTTGGCATAATTACATCAATTTAATGTTAATTTAATTACCAGTCGGTAAGTATTTAAACATTCTGATTTGAAATTATTGAAATACAAGTTCTAGCTATTTGACATAATTGCATTGATGGAATGTTAATTAAATTACTAGGGCGTAAGTATTTAAACATTGATTTGTAATTATTAAAGTACAGGTTTTAGCTATTTGGCATAATTTCATTAATTGAATGTTAATTAAATTTTCAGGGAGTAAGTATTTAAGCATTGGTTTGTAATTATTGAAATCCAAGCTCTAGCTATTGAACATAATTCCATTGATTGAATGGTAATTAAATTACTAGTGGGTAAGTATTTAAACATTGATTTGTAATTATCAAAGTACAAGTTTTAGCTATTTGGCATAATCGAATTAACTGAATGTTTATTAATTACTAGGTGGTAAGTATTTGATTTGCAATTATTGAAGTACAAGTCTAGCTATTTGGCATAATTACATTAAAAGAATGTTAATTAATTACTAGGCAGTAAGTATTTGAACCTTCTGATTTGCTATTATTAAAATACAAGTTCTAACTATTTTAAAAATCAATTATATATAAATAAAATTTCTCTAATCAACCGATGATAAACTTCTACTGGGTCATCAGATCGTAAGTATTTGAATTTACATTTTAAATACAAATTTTGACCATTTGAAAAATAAAAATAACCTAAAATAAACTTTCAATCGATTTTTAACTCTGAAATATATGATATAAATTTATTCAATCATTATTAAATTACCAGTAGGTAAGTTTAACATTTCAAGCTATAATTTTAAATTCAAACGTTCCTTCAATATACTTTATAACAAAAATCAAAATGCTTATAATATAAATTTGCAATATATTGTTGGGCCGTAAGTATTTTAAAATATTTCGGAATACTAGGTTCTTGCAAGTTCATGTTTTAGAATAAAAATTCTATCTATTTTAATATAAATTCTATACAATACTTTTTAATTAATATTTGTTGTATATTAGCAGGTGAGTAATTAAATAGTAACATTTTAATCTCACGTCTAATATAACTAAAAATTTTGATTGACTGATAATTAAACTGTTAGGACGTATGTAATTTCGCTTGTATGCACATCAAATTTAAGCAAATTCCTGGATATTGACATTGATTTGATCCCAATTATCGACAAAAGCTCGTAAGTATCTCCATGTATAGTTTGAGCTTTGTACTGTATTAACCATTGAATACGAATTGTTTACATTCATTTTTAACCGATAGCTTGTAAGTAATTATCTAGTTTATCTCTTATAATTAACAATAAATGTAAGATTAATTAATTTCCCTTTAATAAACAATTAGCCCGTAAGTAATTAAGTGTACTGCTTTATGATTTAAATAATTGATCGTTGTCCGTTAATTTAACATCAATGTGTTTCCATAATCGATTGTCAACAGGTGAGTCTTTATGTTTTAATTCGCAAAAATTTAAGTATACGTTTAATTAGTTTCATGCAATAAAATAAAATTACATTTCTAACTGTTATATTAGCGAGTGAGTATTGAGTATTAGATTACATAAATTTATATATCAAATCTAACGTAAATGACGCCATTCTTATTTATTATAGGATGTAAGTTTTGTGCTTATAGTATAAATGTCATATTAAATTTAATAATAATACAATCTCATTACGTATATGATATATAGCGAGTAAGTACAGTATTTGCATTAAATATTTAAAATTAATTTTATTACCAGTGTAACCGGATAACGTTTTCTAATTGATTATTAATTAACTGTAGCGTGTGAGTAACCGAGTATTTTAATTCATAATGATATTAAAATCACATGTTTTCAGTCAATTTACCACATCTTATTAATTAATTTTTCTTTATCAGAAGGTAAGTAAACTAATAGATTATAAAATATATTTTTTAAAATAAACGAAGTGTCTCAAATCTATTCTCAAAACAAACTATCAGAGGGTAATTATTCACCATAGCTTTATAGAATATACATACTCTCTTGATTTTAATATTAATTATAACTTATTTTACCGTTAGAGTGTAAGTTCTATATTCCTTGATTATAAAAGTTTTCAAAAGGTGCAAGCTTTCCATCATAAAAGTTTACCATTTAACACATTTAATTAATATAGCTCGTGAGTATTCGAAGTCCATATTCGGCATAATTATTTTAAACATAGGCCTTCAGTTTATTAATAAACGTAAATAAATAATACTCAAATAACAATTCTTTAACTACCAGTCGGTAAGTACGAGATAGTTTTAGTTAAATAACTCACGGGTATTATGTTGATACCTCTTTAATTAACATTTAATCAACTATTAGCTTGTAAGTACTTTATATTTTGTAGTTATAATTTTTGAAACATGAGCCTTCAGGAAACTAATGTAGCATTGATTTTGTTCTCTAAGACAGTAAGAATATTTTATTTATAATTATTTGTAAATGTGTATAAAAAATTGACTAACCATAAGTGATTAAAATGATATTAGCGGGTAAGGGTGCTATTCAATTGTTTAAATTATGTCATTGTTGAATGTTGGCTTTTGATATCAGAATTAAATTAATTAATTGATATCGCAAATCATTAGCAAGTGAGTATACAAATAATTCGATCCATTAATATGTCGGATAAATTTATGTTTATGTTATATTAAACGTTTTTAATTAATAAAATCCAGACTGTAAGTACTTTTGTATTGTATTATATATATATATATATATCCCACTAATTTGACGAATGATTATTTCGTTAGACTGTGAGTATGAAAAATAACCTATAATTTCAGCTTTTAAGTATCTAACAGAATATTTTTCGGATAAATTAGAAAGTAAGTATTAGTACATTAAAATTACATTTTCTCATAACATACGATTTGATTAATTTGTTTAAATTATAAATTATTTATCGATATCATCCTTCAGACTGTGAGTATCCGTCTACGATATAAACTCTAAAAAATTTCAGCTGATTAAATATTAATAAGCACTTTCCTAAACTCCATTACCAAATCAAATAGACGGTAAATATTTGTAAATATAATTGTCTTATAATAATAGTCCTATTTACTAAATATAAATATCACATTATTTATCAGAGAGTAAGCGTTTCCAAATAAAATTTCGGAATTTTGTTTTCAAAATTAAATTAAATCATAAACACTCTTAATTTTAGACTGTAAGTATTCGAAAATTTGAAAGCGTAGAATAATAAAACGAAAGTTTATCTAATTTTTTATCAAATAAATTAAACGATTGTTAGCGAGTGAGTATTTGAGCATGTAGATTAATTATTTGTATTCGAAATTGTCATCGATTTCTAATTAAATCTGATGAAAATAATACTTAATGGTTAACTATTAGAATGTAAGTGTTGAGTTTGAAAATTTAATACAATTATCGCAAATTTTAATATTAGAATTCTTTGCTCTACTTTTAGAGAGTAAGTGTTTAATGATTACAGTATCAAAAATATTAATTTCTTGGGTACTGTAATTTAACTATCGATTTAATTATTAGCGCGTGAGTATTTCCAATAATCACCTTTGTTAATACGACATTATAAATTTTTGGTGTGTCTTGATATTTGAAAATTAAACTAAATAATAGGTTTGAATGTAACTAATAAAAATGTTCCCGCGTTTAAATAATCTAGATGGCGTGAAGTTTACATTAAACGTCTGGAAAGCGAATTTGATAACTGGACTAGTGATAACAAAGAAATTGATGTGTTTATCCGGAAACATCAACTTAAAGCATTGCTTCATACAGAAGTTATCGAGTGGGTTCCTTATAATCGATTCCAGAGAGTTGAATACCTTGCAGAAGGCGGTTTCGGAAAAGTCTACAAAGCAACTTGGATTGACGGTTATATTGCATATTGGGATTTTTCTGATGAAAAATGGACAAGACAAGATAATAATGAAACATTTTGTCTAAAGAGTCTGAATAATTCATCAAATGACATAAAGAAATTTTTACAAGAGGTTATCTCTTTATTAATATTCTGTATGTTATATTTTTAAATTTATCTGATCCCTCGATATTTTTAGATCGAAAATCAACTTAAATTTAGAGGAAAACGAGCGATTTCGATGCATGGAATAACAAGAGATCCAAAGGGAAATTACATGATGGTTATGCAATACGCAAAAGAAGGAAGCCTTAGAGAGATGCTAAATAGCAGATATCACACATTAAGTTGGAATCATAAAATTGCAATTTTGAGTAGAATCGCGCAGTGTCTTAAGGAGATTCATGATGCTAAATTAGTCCACAAAGATCTCCATTCCGGAAACATTGTAATGCAAGATTTATCTAAACCATTTATCACTGATTTCGGCCTTTGCAAACCAGTGAATCAAGAATCGACTTCAAAAATCTATGGCGTTATTCCATTTATGGCACCTGAGGTTTTAAAGGAAAATAAATACACCGAAGCGTCAGATATTTTTTCCTTTGGTATTATTATGTCGGAAGTGTTAACTGGATATCCGCCTCACCATGATGTTCCGCACAATGATGATCTAGTAATGCATATCGTTCATGGTCTCCGTCCAAAAATTAGATGTGAAGTCCCTCAACTATTGTTAAATTTAATGAATAGATGCTTGGATGCTGAATCTCCTAGAAGACCAACTGCAGCCCAATTAGTCAAAGATTTAGAGAAATATGCTATGGATGCTGATAGAAATTTTGTTTCTTATGGCTATTCACCTGAAATAGTTAAACAAATCAAAGAAATCGAGAGATTTAAGAGAAAATCAGAATTCTATTCAAGAAAATCATTTTCCTATATTACGCATCCAGAGTCTTACTATACAAGCCGTCTCATCGATCAGCAACCTATTTAAACTATGAATGTCTCAGAGGTATTTGTAAATAATTAAATTGGAATTTATTGCAAATGGCTAAAGTTGTGTATTAACTTATTAGATTCCGTTTCGTCAATCTGAAATGAAATTTCGGATACCTTTGATTATTATTACATTATATTTAAGCCATTAAGAATGTTCTGCTAACATGAAATATTTATTTTTATAATCACGCAAAACTATAGCTAAATTTATATTTTATACCTTATTATATGATCTTTTCATAAATTTTTGACTTTTATTTCTATTTAATTTAACATTTATCTTACTTTACCATACATATATTACAGTATCATAATAAATTTATGGGAAATTTTTTATCCAAATTATGGCAACAAATTATAAAATTTTTTATACTATTTTAACCATCGGAATATATAAAAAAGAACTAATGTCATGAAAAACAGTTAATTAATTGTTTCTGTCTGGCCCTTGCTGTGTCACATTGACAATACAAGTCTCTTTCAAATAAAATTTATACAATGACTCGTTAAAGCAATTGATTACTTAAAAAGAATTTTTTAATGAAAATATTTTAATCTTTATTAGCATGTGTATTCAGTTTTTTTAATAAAATTATATTTTTGCATCTTTCTTGACAAGTCTGTCATTTTTCCTCATTATGTCAGGTAAGTTTTCGGCTTATTTTCTATTTAAGGCATGTAATTTGGTTTGACCAAGTCTTGTTACTAATTCATCTTTCTTTTATTTTCATCGCCTACGCTTCCTTAGCAAGTTCTACCACTTCCTATTATTTATAGTCCTGATTATATTCCTTTTCAAAGTGAGTATTGGGTTGGATAAATTTGTTAAATTTTACTTCTTTTAGAATATCCATTACAATGTCTAATTAGAAAATTTTTAATTAAAGAGCATTTTTCATTATTGTTATTTATTGTTTTAATTTTCTTACGTAACAATATTTTTCCATTATTCCACTATTTCATTACTTTTGTTTCTATTCTAAATATACAACTATTTGTATCCGGATAATAAGTAGATAATTAAGAAAAACTAACCTATTGGCTCAAATAGACTATCTGACATATTATTAAGAAGTCTACTTTAGACTTCTATTATTACTTAATAATTTTATGTAAAGTTAAAAATTATTGCTATCATAATTTGAAATATATAACATATTAAATTATATATTGCAATCATGCTTGGGCTGATATACAGTAACTTGTCTATTAAGTTATAAGAAATATACACTTTAATAAAAATAAATAAATCCAAATCTACTTAATTCAGTTTACCTGTCAATAGCACAAGTTCTCTATATATTATTATAAGACTAATAAATTGCTTGCTTATTAAAAAAAACCAATTCAAAGTTTTAGATCAAGATCTATGGATTATCTATAACTATATTTTATAAATTTTAATTATGCTGCACTTTTTATAAATGATAAAAAATAAAAAATAAAATAAATAAATAAATAATAAAATATACATATACTGTATATACAGTATATAAACCTGTGGATCAATAATACAGTAGTTAGTGCTTTCGGGTTCTGATTATAATATACTGTTTTAACTCTATGTGAAAACAATTAAGCAGTATTAAAAATAATATCTGATATTATAATCGGTTAAATACTGTTTTTATAAAAAGTCACTTTATTATAAAAGTTAATTTATATGCTAATCTAACAAGTATTAACATTGTAATTATACAAGTGTGCAGTTATATAATAATCACCTAGTTAATACATGAAAATTATTGTAAAAATATCTGTAAAAGATATTGAAGATATTCATTTTAGAGCAAAATATTTTAATAATCTTTTTTCTTATAATATATGTGTTTTTTAATTCTAGTTTACAAGAAAAAGTCCTATTTCAATTCAGTAAAAAGTTTTTTTTAGTATTAATTATCATATAAACATAGAACATAAACTCTAGACAACCAGTATTTAAATAAAAAAATACTTATATTCCAATTGGTAGCACAATGTATTTTTTGAATATTTCTAGTTTTTATTAGAATAATAAAATTAAATAACAATATCCAGTTACAGATAGTAATAAAAAATAATCCCTAATAAAATTAGTAAGCTAAGAATAATTTTATTTAATAAAAAGAATAATACTTTCTGTTTTTATTTATTATTCTCTTATATTATAAAAAAATTCAAATAAAACATTAATAATATTCAATTAAGTAATTAAAAATATATTAATAAAATATAAATATATTAGTTTTTGAATTAAAGAATAACAAGCAATATATGATAAATTTCTATAAAAAATTTAACAAATAGTTTTATTGTAATATTTAAATAAACTTAATATATAAAAATTAAATAATAAAATTTTTGTAATTTTAAATAAAAGATAAATAAAAGTAATTTGATGAAGTTAACAATGCTATTGATTAAATCTTTTATTAGATCATATAAAATTTTTGCATATTTAAAGTCAAAAGATCATGCCATATTTAAAATAGATCTATAAAAAAAGAATAAAATAATGAAAATTGATAAAAATCTTTACTGTGCATAAATTATTAAAAAATACAATTTTAAGATCAAAAAGATAATTTGGCAAATTTTGATTATCAAGATTAAATAATTTTTTTTACTTTTTTTTAACAATTTTTCTATTTTTTAAGAATTTTTTGGATTCTCTTTTCGTTTTTTTGTGCCAAGTTTCCATTCAGCTTTCTTTTGAACTGTTATCTTCTTTTTTTGTCTGTTTTATTGGCTTTACATTTCACTTTCCTGTTTACTTTATTAATTGATATCTACTTTTTTCACTAGTAGAGTACTGGAAAAATAAAAATGTCATTTTTTTTTATCTGGATTGATATTCTATAATTGATTGTAAACATTCTGCTAGAATGTGAGAAACTGAGTACTTAAAAATCAAACATAAAGAAAATGTTCCAGAATTTTTATAAGTATTTAGTTCTTTATTTAATATTAAATTTTGTGACTTAAACAAAACATTTTTATTCACAAGTTTTTTATTTGCTTATATTAGTTAATTAATATTCAAACAAGTGAAATAAAAAAGTTTTGAATTAGTAGGCTTATAAGTTAACAAAGATGATATGGCTTGTTAAATAGAAGATTGACTAAAAAAAATAAGATATTAAATTGTTTAGTTACTAATGATAGATTTAAATAGTCAGAACTAATAGCTTTTATGTCAAACAGTCAAATTTCTGTTGCTTTATAGACATTACAAATGGTTTGTAAGATATAAGTTTCAAGAAAAACAGAATTAAAAACTCTTGTAAAAACTTATTTATTACTATCATACTATCATTTTCATTTAGGGCTCTGAAAAAGTACCAAACTGGTATCAAACTGGTATCGAAATAGTACTGATCTATAGTAAATTTAATATATGGGTTGTAACATACTCATATGTTTTTATATTAAATTTAGGTATCGAACTGGTATCAAAGTAGTATCGAAGAGATATCATTAAGAACCTTATTTCATTGTATATTTTTCAAATATCTTATTATATTCTTTTTTTAATTTTGCAAAAGAAATTTTAATAATTATAAAATATAAGTTGTATATAAAGGAAATATATAAAAAAATATATTGTTTTAAATTTTCTTTTCAATATTAGTCGAATGGTTACTGTAGGCAAGCTAGCATTTAACTCATTGTACTTGCATATGAAAGATGTTGTTTCTTTCACGATGTATACCTTGACATATACAAACCAAATAAAGAAATGATGTTTACCTACAAAAAAAA